GAGCAAACCTGGAAAAGCAAGTTGCGAGTAGCAGCAACATCGTCAATGCCGGCTAGCATCGTCACACGCCTCGCCAAAGAGGAGCGGTTCCAGCCGTTGCATTAGGGGCGAGTTAATGAAATGTTTGACCAAATACAAGAGGCACATTTTTAAGTTGATAATTTTGAGTGGCCCGCGAATGATGTTATATAAATATCCAAATGGCCCTTGGCAGAAAAAAAGGTTCCCCACCCCGGATCTAAACGATGATGATGATGATGATTTAATAGTGCCCCAGCTCCACAGTGGCTTCGTAATATCGGAAGGAAGAGCGTTCCAGACGGCCGCGGAAGCGCATCTGAAAGCACGCGATGACCGTCTTTGTTCGATGGCCCAGCCAAAAAGTCGCCGCTGCTGCTGCAACGATGACCGGAGTTGAGGTGACGATTGTTTATTTGGACGCCTTGATCGATTGGGGGGGCACTTGGCGTCGCACGGCGGCCAGTAGATCTCTCGTCGTTTTGGAAAGTGACCATGGCTCCGCCCGAAGTAACGGACACACGGAAATACTAGATACGTGCGAGTGTGTGTAATGGTGTGCTTGTTTGCGAGCATTCTGGGAGTCTTGTGGTGTCGCGGTTGGCGCTACGCTGCGTTACGAACCCGGCGACCCGGGTTCAATTCCTGCTCACGGCCAACACCGCTGACGATTATCTGAACCGGTCCTGGGCCTCCCCTAGGTAGACTCGGCCTCAAATGAGTACCTGGTGCGGTGTGTAAACATCGCCACTAGGGAGACAAAGGCGGCCGGGCGTGGTGTTGGCAACTCGCCCCCGCGTGTGCCGTGCCGGCCTTCATAGATGCTACTCGCTAACAGCACTTGCCCCTACAGTCTGTTACAGGCTGTAAGTTTTTGTATTCTGGTATTCCTGAATTGAGAGGGTGAGAGAGGGTGAGAGAGAGGGTGAGAGAGGGTGAGAGTGAGAGAGGGTGAGAGTGAGAGAGGGTGAGAGTGAGAGAGGGTGAGAGTGAGAGAGGGTGAGAGAGAGTGAGGGTGAGAGGCAGGGTGAGAGTGAGAGGGAGAGAGAGAGGCAGGGTGAGGGTGAGAGGCAGGGTGAGAGGCAGGGTGAGAGGCAGGGTGAGAGGCAGGGTGAGAGTGAGAGAGAGTGAGAGGCAGGGTGAAAGTGAGAGAGAGGGTGAAAGTGAGAGAGTGGGTGAAAGTGAGAGAGAGGCTATGCCTGGGCATGCCCCTTTTAGCCTCTCTATTTGCACAGAGCCAGTGATGCGTTTGCCGCTCTTTGCTGAGGTTTCTTGGTTCGGGTCGTCCTGGTTAATAATAATAACAATAATGCTTTTTGTTCTTGTGAATCAGGATCATAATGTTTATTATTTACACTGCATGAAGAATCCGACGAACAATAAAAAAAAACCACGGTAGCGCAAATTATAGCAAAAGGTTAACAATAAGAAAAATCAAGCTGAACTATTTTTTTTTTTACCAGCTCGAGCTCACTGAGCTACGAGATTTTCAGAAGCGAACGTGGCCACGGGCGAAAACAAAAACAAAACTTGCGACGCGCCAACGCCACCCGCCTCCCCCCCCCCCCCCCCCACGACGCTTTGTTGAAGGTTCAACACTGGGCCGCCTCGCCGGCAGTTTGCGGCAAGAGCGGCAGGCCCTCTCCGCTCGGCCGAGCGTGCGAAAGCGAGAAAGGACGACCGCTAGTCACCCCACCGCCTCCCCTCACCCCCCCGTTGGGATGACGCACGCCGGTGGCGATCATCAATCATCGCCCCCAACCCCCGCCCGCGCCGCTCGCCCGACCCAGAAAACTTGGCAGGACCCTCCTGAAAACGAGTCACGGGGGGGGGGGGGGGGGGGGACCTCCCCCCCGCCCCCCGCCCCCCCCCCGGCGGCGAGGCGCTCCCCGGTGAAACGGGCGCATCCGTCGCAAACGTCACGGCCGCAACCTGGCCGGGGTGATACTCTTTGGTTCTGTTCGGCAAAGTCACGTAGGCAAAAACGTGACTTTGCCGAATAGATACCAACAAAGAGTTATGGATCCTTGCAGTCACGAAAGCTTCAAATCCAGAACGGGTCGGGGTGAGGTCGCGCGAACGTGCGACGTTAAACCACCGCCTCCCGCACGCGACGGCAGGCGGCTTCAGCGAGGCTCGCCACGTCAGCGGAACGGGGCGAAAGTTGGTTGCCAATTGAGAGCCAACTGCTCCATCGGCGTGACGGCCAGGAAACCTGCTGCTGGTTCTTCTTGTTGTTGTTGTTTGTTGTTGTTGTGATTACCGGCGAAACGCCACGCTACTCGAATTGTAAATGTAGCGGGCGTCAATTGCGGTGGGCTTGCTCTCCAACACGCAACCGGCTAGCGGCTCGTGCTGAACCAGTAAACTCATTGGCACGTTCGGTTTTACGCGACGAGACCTTGCCAGCTGGCCGCGCGGTGGTGGTGGTGGTGGTGGTGGCGGCTTCAACGGCACATTTATATTGAACGCGATCTGACCCCCTCCTCCCCCCCCCCAAAAAAAAACAAACAAACCCTCGTTTATGGATAATGATGACCGCGAAAGCCCTACGTGTTCATCGAACGAGAATAACCACAGCAGCACTGGCTCGCAATCGGCCCTAGCCCGGGCCAAATCCCCCTTGTCGGAAACGACTCGCGGGAACGAAGCTTGGGAAACTTTTGTTGGTCTGTTATCGGTCATTTATGTTGCGTCGTTTGGGCCACCGCCCAGTGATTGGAGCAACATCGTGTCGTGGTAACCCTCCACCACCCGACGCAGCCAAACCAAGCAAACCCGTGCCGAGTGGCAGCGTTGATGGGCGCGCCGATTGCTCTTGCTGCGGTTCGCTGCCCGGCGAGATGTTGACTACCTCGCCTGGTATGCAGGAGGTCGTGAGTTCAATCACGACCCTGACGCCTGCTGCTGCTGTATATTTGGAGTTTGCGGTGTCTCTCTCTCTCTCATCATCATCACGGTGGCTAGGGAGATGTTAACTACCTCGCCTGGTACGCAGGAGGTCGTGAGTTCAATCACGACCCTGACGCCTGCTGCTGCTGCTGTATATTTGGAGTTTGCGGTGTCTCTCATCATCATCACGCTGGCTAGGGAGATGTTAACTACCTCGCCTGGTACGCAGGAGGTCGTGAGTTCAATCCTGACCCTGAAGCCTGCTGCTGTATATTTGAAGTTTGCGGTGTCTCTCTCTCTCTCATCATCATCACGGTGGCTAGGAGATGTTAACTACCTCGCCTGGTATGCAGGAGGTCGTGAGTTCAATCCTGACCCTGAAGCCTGCTGCTGTATATTTGAAGTTTGCGGTGTCTCTCTCTCTCATCATCATCACGGTGGCTAGGAGATGTTGACTACCTCGCCTGGTATGCAGGAGGTCGTGAGTTCAATCACGACCCTGAAGCCTGCTGCTGCAGATTTAGAGTTTGCGTGTCTCTCTCTCATCATCATCATCTATACGGTGGCTAGGGAGATGTTAACTACCTCGCCTGGTACGCAGGAGGTCGTGAGTTCAATCTCGACCCTGAAGCCTGCTGCTGTATATTTGGAGTTTGCGGTGTCTCTCTCTCTCATCATCATCACGGTGGCTAGGAGATGTTACCCACCTCGCCTGGTATGCAGGAGGTTGTGGTTTCCATCCCGACCTTGAAGCCTGCTGCTGTGTATTTGGAGTCTGCGTGTCTCTCTCCCCGTGGATTTTTCTCCGGCGTCCTCCGGTTTATCCCCTCCGCATTTAGAATCAACATCACCACGCGTTTAGAGAATATTCGGCTGCTGCTGCTGCTATACATTTCCACGTGGTGGTGATGATGATGATACGCCACTTCGTTGAACTATCATTTGTGGCCTCAACTGGTAAAATAAAAACAAGTTTTTTTTTATAGTTTACTTTGAACGCTTTGCACACTTGACTGCCTGTTCAAGGCTACATGGGGGGGGGGTGGCTTTGTCTTTGCATCACCCGTGCATGTCGTCTCCTCCCCCACCTCCTTGTGTTTACACAGTCTGCTTTGTGTCATCTATCCTGTGTGTACGTGTGTGTTTGTCCTTGTGCGCGTGTATGTATCCAGGGGAGTGGTGGCGCAATGGTTAGCGCACCGCACTACCACCTGTTTGATTCCCGCTCACGGCCAAAATTGAAGTATATATGAACCGGTCCTGGGCCTCTCCCCAAGTCAATTCGGCCTCAAATGAGCACCTGGTGCGGTGTGTGAACATCCCCACTAGGGAGACAAAGGCGGCCGGGTGTGGGGCTGGCCTCCCACCCAACTCGTGTGCCGTCCTGGCCTTAATGGGTGCTCGCCAACAGCACTCGCCCCTGCAGTCTGTTGAAGGATATACGGGGGACCCTTATCTGTGTTTTCATATTGTCCCGTGTGTCTGCGTGTGTGTGTCTGTGTGTCTGCGTGTGTCCGTGCGTGTGTCTGCGTGTGTCTGTGCGTGTGCCCGTGCGTGTGTCCGTGCGTGCGTGTGTCTGCGTGTGTCTGTGCGTGCGTGTGCCCGTGCGTGTGTCCGTGCGTGCGTGTGTCTGCGTGTGTCTGTGCGTGCGTGTGTCTGCGTGTGTCTGTGCGTGCGTGTGCCCGTGCGTGTGTCCGTGCGTGCGTGTGTCTGCGTGTGTCTGCGTGTGTCCGTGCGTGCGTCTGCATGTGTGCGTGCGTGTGCCCGTGCGTGTGTCTGCGTGTGCCCGTGCGTGTGTCTGCGTGTGCCCGTGCGTGTGTCTGCGTGTGCCCGTGCGTGTGCCCGTGTGTGTGTCTGCGTGTGCCCGTGTGTGTGCCCGTGTGTGTGCCCGTGTGTGTGTCTGCGTGTGCCCGTGTGTGTGTCTGCGTGTGCCCGTGCGTGTGCCCGTGCGTGTGTCTGCGTGTGTCTGCGTGTGCCCGTGCGTGTGCCCGTGTGTGTGTCTGCGTGTGCCCGTGTGTGTGTCTGCGTGTGCCCGTGTGTGTGTCTGCGTGTGCCCGTGTGTGCCCGTGCGTGTGCCCGTGTGTGCGTAGTTTGCGATTGTGGACGACTACGCCGACCCGTACGATGCCCCGCGGGGGTCGTCAGCACGCTCCACCGCCACCGCCGCCGCCGCCGCCGCGGCCGCGGCCGCCACCACCACCACGGGGGAGGAGCGTCCCGGCCCGGACAACGACGGCTACATGGAGCCCTACGAGGCACAGAGGCTCATGGCCGGTACGCTGGGCCGCGGCCGTCTCACCGCACGGCCGTCCCGCCACTCGGCGGCCGTTCCGTAGCTCCGCGGCTGTCTCGTCTCTCCTCGGCCGTCCCACCACTGCACGGCCATCTTATCACGGCACTCTGTGTCCTTGTGCACCACCCCCCCCTGCACCCTGATACGGGACTCGGAGACAGCCACGGCCTTGTGCGTTGTGGACTCCCACCAAAAAAGCATTCCTGGGGCCCAGCGAAGGCTGCCCTCAATAGATAACTCGGGGAGGAAGGGTAAAGGTGCGGCCCTGCAAGTTCCTCCCTCGCGCCACTGTCGGCAGAACGGGGGGCGGGGGGGGGGGGGGAGCACCCCCGCACTTTACCCCACCGCACGAGACCTGCTGGTCGTAGACTGACTTTACGAACACGCTGCTGCTGCTGCTGGGTGGACAGGGCCAGGCGCTGTGGCGAGGAGATGGAACCCTCTGGATCGCTCGTCTGGCACTGCTGCCACACTATAAAGGGCGCCGCAGCGGCTAGGAGATGTTGACTACCTCGCCGGGTACACAGGAGGTCGTGGGTTCGATCTCCGACCCTGACGCCTGCTGCTGTATATTTGGAGTTTGCGTGTCTCTCTCTCTCATCATCATCATCACGGTGGCTATGGAATGTTAACTACCTCGCCTGTTACACAGGAGGTCACGGGTTCGGTCTCCGACCCTGACGCCTGCTGCTGTATATTTGAAGTTTGCGTGTCTCTCTCTCTCCCCGTGGATTTTTCTCCGGGGTCCTCCGGTTTATCCACTCCGCACTTAGAATCAACATCACCACGCGTTTCGAGTTACTCGACTGCCATACATTTCCGTGTCATGATGATGAGCCACTTCGTTGCGCTATCATTTGTGGCCAGGTCGCTTCTGAAAAAGAGCTGTATAGCAGCTCAAATGAGCCTTACCAGGTAAAATTAAAATAATTTCGCTTTTAGTTCGGCGTTATATCTCCGCCACCGCCGTGGTGGCATCTTGCCATGCGCACGCCATCGCAGCAGCAGCAGCAGCAACAACAACAACAAAAGTTCAACTGAGAGACTGATTATTTGTGATTGAAATCATTGGCTGTGGGCTTAACGCCACCTTGAGATTTCCGTGATGTCACCCAAGAACCACGATTGTGAATGATATCGGTCACGATAGCCCGCCTCTGCGTGTGAAGTGAACCTTGGTTGCGAAATTATTTTCGGTTGAAATCATTTCCGTTCACCGCTCGCCGAGTGAAAACCAAAAAACCGCAACCTTCGGACCGCTCGGCAAATTACACTTTTTTTTTGTAATCTTTCCCCCACCCTGCCAGAAAAATAAATAAAAACTATCGTTCTCCGCGCTGCCGTAAGCTCGCCGAGGTGTGACCTCACCACGTCGCTATCGGCGCTCTCCGCGGGGAAGTCACAGCCGGTCCTCCCCACCGGAGAAAGTAATTTGACGCCGCAAATACCAGCTCGGTCACTGAGTTCAGGGTTCGTGGTGACGGTGGTGGTGACAGCAGTGGTGGCGACGATGGCGGCGGTGGTGGTGGTGGTGGCGGTCGTAGTGGTGGCAGTGCCAGCGGTGATGGTTTTGGTGATGGTGGGTGGTGGCAGCATTGCCACACGTGGCTGCCTGTGATGCAGCGCTGTGGAGGCAGCAGCAGCAGCACCAGGGAAGGGGTTGGTGGATCAGGCACAGATGTCGTGAAACTCCCTTCCCCCCTGGACTCTCTCTAGACTCGGGCTGGGAGTGAGGGCCTGCCCACACACGCGGGGAGTGGGGGTGTGGCCATGTGGGGGACGAGGTTGGTGCCCTGAGGGTGGGATAGTGGTGGGTGGGAGAGCGGTGTGGGTGAGGGAGCGGTGTGGGTGGGAGAGCGGTGTGGGTGAGGGAGCGGTGTGGGTGGGTGAGCGGTGTGGGTGGGAGAGCGGTGTGGGTGAGGGAGCGGTGTGGGTGGGAGAGCGGTGTGGGTGAGGGAGCGGTGTGGGTGGGAGAGCGGTGTGGGTGGGAGAGCGGTGTGGGTGAGGGAGCGGTGTGGGTGGGAGAGCGGTGTGGGTGGGTGAGCGGTGTGGGTGAGGGAGTGGGGTGGGTGGGAGAGCGGTGTGGGTGGGAGAGCGGTGTGGGTGGGGGAGCGGTGTGGGTGGGAGAGCGGTGTGGGTGGGTGAGCGGTGTGGGTGAGGGAGTGGGGTGGGTGGGAGAGCGGTGTGGGTGGGAGAGCGGTGTGGGTGGGGGAGCGGTGTGGGTGGAGGGAGCGGTGTGGGTGGGAGAGCGGTGTGGGTGGGGGGAGTGGTGTGGGTAGGGGGAGCGAAACGCCGGACAACAAATATCAAGATCCCCTGCATAACTTTAACAGACTGTTGGGGCAAGTGTTCAGCACCTATGAAGACCGGCGGGGCGCACGAGGGGGTGGGTGGCCAGTACCACGCCCGGCCGCCTTTGTCTCCCCCAATGTTGATGGTTGCGCACCGCTACACCGGATACTCGTGTCAGACCGAGTGGATGGCGGAGTATTCCAGGCACGGTTCAGATTTTGGCTGCGAGCGGGAACCGAACTCGGTTTTGCCGGGGTTGGCAGCGCTCGCCGCTCGGCTACGACACACGTGACATCCGCGTTGCCCCCCTCCCCCTGCAATCATCTCCGCCCCCCCTCCCCCGCCCCCTCCCCTCCACCACCAACCCCAACAGAAATCCGCAAGCAGTCTCTGAAGGACCAGAGAATTAGGGGGGGCGGTGGCGGCCCCCCGCTCTACGACAACCCCTACGAGCCTCGCGAGAACGGGGGAGCCGCGCCCTTCTCGGCACGGGCGGCCGCCGCCGCCGCCGGCACCGCCGCCGGCACCGCCGGCTCAAGAGCGACCGGCGCGGCGACGTTGCCGGAACAGAGCGGAGGCGACGAGGGCGGGGGGCCCGCGGTGGCCGGAGGAGGTGCGGCCCACGCGGCCGCCAGGGACAGCCGCTTGCCCCAGGGTGACGAGAGGCCCCCCGACGAGTACGAGGAGCCCTGGGAGTGGAAGCGAGGCCCGCTCAGCAAGGCCCTGCAAGGTGAGTTAACGTGGCGGGGTGGGAGGGGGGGGGGGGGTTGAGGGGGGGGGTGGCCGGCGATGGGGGGGGAGGGGGGATTGCCTCCTCGTTGGCGGCGCTCGTGAGGCCCGGTTCGCGATGCCCGGCGACAGTGTGTGTATGCGTGCGTGTGTGTGTGTGCGCGTATGTGTGTGTGCGTGTGTGTATGCGTGCGTGCGTGCGTGTGTGTGCGTGCGTGTGTGTGCGTGTGTGTGCGTGTGTGCGTGTGTGTGTGCGTTTTTCGCCAATCTGCCCGACTGGTTTCTGTCTTGAGAGCCGCATTTTTGTTTGTCGAGAGAAAGACAAATAGATGCTTGCAGTTCTGCATGGATCTGTTTTGTTTCGTGCGTGCCTTCGATTTTCATCTTGCCTTGAGTGGGGGTGGCTGGGTGCCACTGAAGTGCACCTAGCCTGGCACGAGCGCTCCCAGTCGAGGAGTAGCGTGAACAGGACGGCTGTCTCCTATTTACCATTTAAATAATTAGCCGGATGGTGGTGGTGGTGATGATGGTGGTGCTGGTGGCTACGTTACACGTGGCTGCCTGTGGTCGTGCACTGTGGAGTCAGCAGCAGCAGCAGCAAGGGGTTGGTGGATCACGCAGAGATGTCGCGAAACTCCCTTCCCGTGGGTGTCGAGGAGTAGCCATACCCTGTCTCGCCAGGAGAAAGCGGGTACGGCAAAGCGCGGGCCAATCACCATCTGTTTATTTAGTCTTGACGGGGTGGGGTGGGGGGTGGTGGTATAGAGCGTTGCCCCCTTGCACGAGGCTTGGGGTTTTCCTATTGGTGCTCCGCTTTAGTGCTCCCCACGTGAATTGTGAACACGACTCCGTCACTAATTGGGCCCACAAAAACATCTCACGATATTCTTAGTTCTTTCGGTAAAGTCACCACGTTGAAGGGAAACAACAAAATAATAAAATATATATAAAACAATAAAAATTCTCACGACGTTTCGACCATAACACAAACGGTTGTCTTCAGGTGTGTTTTATTATATATTTTTAATTATTTTGTTGTTTCCCTTCAACGTGACTTTACCGAAAGAACTAAGAATATGAATTACTGCAGTCACGAAAGCTTTAAATCAAAACATCTTACGATGTAAAAAAAAAACCCGAAGGGCCTACTGAGCTACGTAGCGACCAGGCCAGTAAAGTGACGGCTCGACGAATTGGGCTTATCATCGCGCGGTTATGTACAGCAACCAAATACTCTCAAGCGCATGATCCTCAGTGTGCAGGGAAAGACCGGAGGGACCCCGGGAAAAATCCGCGCGACCACGGGGAGAGCGAGCGAGAGAGAGAGACTCAAACTCCAAATATACAGCAGCAGCAGCAGCAGGCGTCAGGGGGTGGGATCGAACCCACGACCTCCTGCGTACCAGGCGAGGTAGTTAACATCTCCCCAGCGTGGCGTGAAGGGCGTTCTACGTAGGTGTGCAGCAGGCGGCTCCTGCGCGGGACAAGTGAGCGAATCGGCGCGAGCGGCCGGAATGCGGGAGGCTGACGAGTCGCTGCCCGCTGCATCGGCCGCTGCCGCCCCCCCCCACCACCCCCCCCCCCCCCACCACCCCCCCCACCACCCCCCCCCCCCACCACCCCCCCACCCCCCAGTTCAGCTGGACGGAGGGGACGGCCGAGCGGCGCCCGGCGTTGGCGTCTCGGCGGCGGCGGCGGCGATGGCGACGGGGGCGACGCCCGTCGGCGGTGAGGAGCGCCTCCTGTGCCACCCGCGCCATCTGAAGGGCGCCGGCGTGCGGATGAGCCCCGAGCACTACGGCCCCATCGGGGAGAAGATCGACCCCGGCCTGCCGCTCGACAAGCAAGTGTACGTCGCCCCTCCCCCCGACCCCCCGCACGCCACGCGCACAGACTAAGACCCCCCCCCCCCTGCCCACCCCCGCGTGGCCTGGACACACAAAGACCCCCCCCTGCCCCCCACGTGTGGCCTGGACACACAAAGACCCCCCCCCTGCCCACCCCCGCGTGGCCTGGACACACAAAGACCCCCCCCTGCCCACCCCCGCGTGGCCTGGACACACAAAGACCCCCCGGCTGCCTTTGGCCTCTACCCAGGGGCGATGTTCCCACCAGCTGCGGGAGCCAGGTCGCTGTTGAACGAGAGCTGTTTGTAGATCGGTGTGGGCACTACCTGGTAACATAAACACACAGTCGAGTCGTCCCTCTCTTACCGGGGGACCTGCCTGCCCTCCCTCCCTCCCTGCCTGCCCTCCCTCCCTGCCTGCCCTCCCTCCCTGCCCTCCCTCCCTCCCTCCCTGCCCTCCCTCCCTCCCTGCCTTCCCCCCCTCCCTCCCTGCCCCCCCTCCCCCCAGCTGGTACCACGGCGCCATCGGCCGCGTGGACGCCGAGAACCTCCTAAGGCTGTGCAAGGAGTCAAGCTACCTGGTGCGCAACAGCGAGACGAGCAAGAACGAGTACTCCCTCTCCCTCAAGTCAGTCTCCCTCTCTCTCTCTCAAGTCAGTCTCCCTCTCTCTCTCAAGTCAGTCTCTCTCTCAAGTCAGTCTCTCTCTCTCAAGTCAGTCTCTCTCTCTCTCAAGTCAGTCTCCCTCTCTCCCTCAAGTCAGTCCCTCTCTCTCTCTCAAGTCAGTCTCTCTCTCTCCCTCAAGTCAGTCTCTCTCCCTCAAGTCAGTCTCCCTCTCTCTCTCAAGTCAGTCTCTCTCCCTCAAGTCAGTCTCCCTCTCTCTCTCAAGTCAGTCTCTCTCTCAAGTCAGTCTCCCTCTCTCTCTCAAGTCAGTCTCCCTCTCCCTCAAGTCAGTCTCTCCCTCTCTCTCTCAAGTCAGTCTCTCTCTCTCAAGTCAGTCTCCCTCTCTCTCTCAAGTCAGTCTCTCTCTCTCAAGTCAGTCTCCCTCTCTCTCTCAAGTCAGTCTCCCTCTCCCTCAAGTCAGTCTCTCCCTCTCTCTCTCAAGTCAGTCTCTCTCTCTCAAGTCAGTCTCCCTCTCTCTCTCAAGTCAGTCTCTCTCTCTCAAGTCAGTCTCTCTCAAGTCAGTCTCTCTCAAGTCAGTCTCTCTCAAGTCAGTCTCTCTCTCTCTCAAGTCAGTCTCTCTCTCTCAAGTCAGTCTCCCTCTCTCTCTCAAGTCAGTCTCTCTTTCTCTCAAGTCAGTCTCTCTCTCTCTCTCAAGTCAGTCTCTCTCTCAAGTCAGTCTCCCTCTCTCTCAAGTCAGTCTCCCTCTCTCTCTCAAGTCAGTCCCTCTCTCTCAAGTCAGTCTCCCTCTCTCTCTCAAGTCAGTCTCCCTCTCTCCCTCAAGTCAGTCTCCCTCTCTCTCTCAAGTCAGTCTCTCTCTCTCAAGTCAGTCTCTCTCTCTCTCAAGTCAGTCTCTCTTTCTCTCAAGTCAGTCTCTCTCTCTCTCTCAAGTCAGTCTCTCTCTCAAGTCAGTCTCCCTCTCTCTCAAGTCAGTCTCCCTCTCTCTCTCAAGTCAGTCCCTCTCTCTCAAGTCAGTCTCCCTCTCTCTCTCAAGTCAGTCTCCCTCTCTCCCTCAAGTCAGTCTCCCTCTCTCTCTCAAGTCAGTCTCTCTCTCTCAAGTCAGTCTCTCTCAAGTCAGTCTCTCTCAAGTCAGTCTCTCTCTCTCTCAAGTCAGTCTCTCTCAAGTCAGTCTCCCTCTCTCTCTCAAGTCAGTCCCTCTCTCTCAAGTCAGTCTCCCTCTCTCTCTCAAGTCAGTCCCTCTCCCTCAAGTCAGTCTCCCTCTCTCTCTCAAGTCAGTCTCCCTCTCTCTCTCAAGTCAGTTTCTCTCTCAAGTCAGTCTCTCTCTCTCTCAAGTCAGTCTCTCTCTCTCTCAAGTCAGTCTCTCTCTCTCAAGTCAGTCCCTCTCCCTCAAGTCAGTCTCTCTCTCTCTCAAGTCAGTCTCTCTCTCTCAAGTCAGTCTCTCTCTCTCAAGTCAGTCTCTCTCTCTCTCAAGTCAGTCCCTCTCTCTCTCAAGTCAGTCTCTCTCTCAAGTCAGTCTCCCTCTCCCTCAAGTCAGTCTCCCTCTCTCTCTCAAGTCAGTCCCTCTCCTCAAGTCAGTCTCCCTCTCTCTCTCAAGTCAGTCTCTCTCTCTCTCAAGTCAGTCCCTCTCCCTCAAGTCAGTCTCCCTCTCTCTCTCAAGTCAGTCTCTCTCTCAAGTCAGTCTCCCTCTCCCTCAAGTCAGTCTCCCTCTCTCTCTCAAGTCAGTCTCTCTCCCTCAAGTCAGTCTCCCTCTCTCTCTCAAGTCAGTCTCTCTCTCTCAAGTCAGTCTCTCTCAAGTCAGTCTCTCTCTCTCTCAAGTCAGTCTCTCTCTCTCTCAAGTCAGTCTCTCTCTCTCAAGTCAGTCTCTCTCAAGTCAGTCTCTCTCTCAAGTCAGTCTCTCTCAAGTCAGTCTCTCTCTCAAGTCAGTCTCTCTCTCTCAAGTCAGTCTCCCTCTCTCTCTCAAGTCAGTCCCTCTCTCTCAAGTCAGTCCCTCTCCCTCAAGTCAGTCTCCCTCTCCCTCAAGTCAGTCTCCCTCTCTCTCTCAAGTCAGTCTCTCTCTCAAGTCAGTCTCTGTCTCTCTCAAGTCAGTCTCTCTCTCTCAAGTCAGTCTCCCTCTCTCTCTCAAGTCAGTCTCTCTCTCCCTCAAGTCAGTCTCTCTCTCTCTCAAGTCAGTCTCTCTCTCTCCCTCAAGTCAGTCTCTCTCTCTCCCTCAAGTCAGTCTCTCTTTCAAGTCAGTCTCTCTCTCTCAAGTCAGTCTCTCTCTCTCTCAAGTCAGTCTCTCTCTCTCTCAGGTCAGTCTCTCTCTCTCTCAAGTCAGTCTCTCTCTCTCTCTCAAGTCAGTCTCTCTCTCTCTCAAGTCAGTCTCTCTCTCTCAAGTCAGTCTCTCTCTCTCAAGTCAGTCTCTCTCTCTCTCTCTCAAGTCAGTCTCTCTCTCTTTCAAGTCAGTCTCTCTCTCTCTCAAGTCAGTCTCTCCCTCAAGTCAGTCTCTCCCTCAAGTCAGTCTCTCTCTCAAGTCAGTCTCTCTCTCTCTCAAGTCAGTCTCTCTCTCTCTCAAGTCAGTCTCTCTCTCTCTCAAGTCAGTCTCTCTCTCTCTCAAGTCAGTCTCTCTCTCTCAAGTCAGTCTCTCTCTCTCTCTCAAGTCAGTCTCTCTCTCAAGTCAGTCTCTCTCTCCCTCAAGTCAGTCTCTCTCTCTCAAGTCAGTCCTCCCTTACTCTCTCAAGTCAGTTCCTCGCTCTCTCTCACCCACACATCGTTCTCACGCGTTGTCGACTCACACAGAGACCCGTAGACTCACACAGAGACCAATAGACGGTACACACACACACACACCGTACACATACACACACCATACACACACACACACCGTACACACACACACACCGTACACACACACACACCGTACACACACACACACCGTACACACATACACACCATACACACACACACACACCATACACACACACACACACACCGTACACACACACACACACCGTACACACACACACTGTACACACACACCGTACACACACACACCGTACACACACACACCGTACACACACACCGTACACACACACCGTACACACACACCGTACACACACACCGTACACACACACCGTACACACACACCGTACACATAGCCCGTACATACACACACACACCGTACACACACACCGTACACACACACCGTACATACACACACACACACACCGTACACACACACACACCGTACACACACACACCGTACACACACACACACCGTACACACACACACACCGTACACACACCGTACACACACACACACACTGTACACACACACACACACACCGTACACACACACCGTACGCACACACACACCGTACACACATACACCGTACGCACACACACCGTACACACATACACACCGTACACACACACACCGTACACACACACCGTACACACACACCGTACACACACACACACACCGTACACACACCGTACACACACACACACCGTACACACACACACCGTACACACACACACCGTACACACACCGTACACACACACACCGTACACACACACACCGTACACACACATTGTACACACACACCGTACACACACACACACACACCGTACACACACACATTGCACACACACACATTGCACACACACACATTGTACACACACACACCGTACACACACACACACCGTACACACACACACACACACCGTACACACACACACACACACCGTACACACACACATTGTACACACACACCGTACACACACACATTGTACACACACACATTGTACACACACACATTGTACACACACACACATTGTACACACACACACATTGTACACACACACACATTGTACACACACACACATTGTACACACACACACACACATTGTACCCACACACATTGTACACACACACCGTACACACACACATTGTACACACACACATTGTACACACACACATTGTACACACACACATTGTACACACACACATTGTACACACACACATTGTACACACACACCGTACACACACTCATTGTACACACACACACACCGTACACACACACCGTACACACACACATTGTACACACACACATTGTACACACACACATTGTACACACACACATTGTACACACACACACGTACACACACACACACATTGTACACACACACACACATTGTACACACACACACCGTACACACACACACCGTACACACACACACCGTACACACACACACATTGTACACACACACACCGTACACACACACACCGTACACACACACACAATACACACACACATTGTACACACACACACCGTACACACACACACCGTACACACACACACCGTACACACACACACACCGTACACACACACACACATTGTACACACACACCATATACACACACACACAATACACACACACCATACACACCGTACACACACACACAATACACACACACACACACCATACACACACACATACCATACACACACACACAATACACACACACACACCATACACACACACACACCATACACACACACACACACCACACACACACACACACATACCGTACACACACACACATTGTACACACACAATACACACACACACCATACACACACACACACACCATACACACACACACACACCGTACACACACAATACACACACACACACAATACACACACACCGTACACACACACACACCATACACACACATTGTACACACACACATTGTACACACACACACAATACACACACACACACACAATACACACACATACACACACACATACCGTACACACACACACACCATACACACACCATACACACACCATACACACATACACACACCGTACACACACACACACAATACACACACACACACCATACACACACACCATACACACATACACACACACACACCGTACACACACACACACCATACACACACACACCATACACACACACCGTACGCACACACACACACAATACACACACACACCGTA